TGATTTGCCTATGTGCCACTGAAGAGATCCGGCTAGTTAATGCCTTTGTACGTGCTCTAAGAAATGGTTTGGGCGAGTCGTTCTCTCGTCCTTTCGCGCATGTGCATTGGGAGCTGGCAAGCTCCCAAGCCCGGTCTTGTCAATTTAGTGGCCCGGAGCGAAGCTAGAACGATGGGTCCTTTAATACAACTCTGATAATATAATGATGTTTTTAACAAATGTAATGCATAAAAAAACATTCTTATCAAATAAGTTGTATATCTTCCTCTTCTGTGCTTACTAAATATAAGTTCCTATGGCCTATGGGCTCCTATATTCATAACATACATATATGTAGGGTTGGGCCCCTTGACTTCGAGGGCCCAATACGGTGGTACAGCTCAACCCCCACCTCAAGGCCGGGCGCCTGCACGCTCCCTCTCCAGTGGAGAGTGAAAAGGATGGGAAAGGGAATTCTAGGAAGCTAATTAGGAGAACTGTTGAAGTTAAGCCTAAAATTCTAAGATTGGAACCCATAATTGGTATCTATTGATGATGTTCTTATGGGGGCATAAAGATATATCATGTTTGGGATGGCATATTGGTAGGACAAATCCCTATCAACATGAACATCTGCACTATCTTGTGTAGGTCGTTAAAAAAATTGTTTAGAAAATTTGGTACGTTGGTTTTCGCTCCGTCGCCCATGACTGACGATCACAGTGCAACACGGAATGGTTTTCAACAGGTAGCTCGAGCGCGTGGGTCTGCTTGTTGCTGCAGCAAACGGCCTTGTTCGGCTACGGCATCGCCTACACCATCACCGCCTCCATCAGTTGCAGGTACGCCACCCCACCTACGCGCCCCTCCTTTACATTTGCCGCACTACGCATTGTCCACTTCTTTTTGTGCGCGGAAGCAAGCAAGCAAGTATGCCGAATTGCCGATGATGTTTGATATTTTCATCGCTTAATTACCTCGAGCAGCATCGAGCGCACACTACTCCGTTAGTCACACGATTTCACGTCCCCCTTTCGCGGTGGCCTCCATCGGCTCGCGGCGCGGAGCCACCGATTCCAGTTTCCTTCCCGTTTCACGTCTCCCTTTCGCATGCGGGCCGCTGTTCCGCCTCGGTTGCCTGGGCCCTGACGCCGCGGGCTGTGGCTAGAGGAATAAGTTCACTTTAGGTCCCTTAATTTGTCGCTCAGTCTGATTTTCATCCTCAGTCCACAAAACCGGATACAATGCTTCCCCCAACTTACCAAAACCGTGCAGACGAGGTCCCTTGGCAGTTTGGAAGGCGGTTTTCACTGACGTGGCGTCTATGTGGCTGGTTTGACTAGGTCTCTGTCCTACATGGCATTGACGTGGCGCTTACGTGGCAATTATATTTCGGAAAAATAATAAAAATCATGGCCCCACATGTTAGCTCCACACAAAATATAATTTTAAAATGGTGGGGCCCACGTGGGCCTCACATGTCAGCCTCACTCTTCCATTCTCTCTCTTCTTCATCTTCACTCCTCTCTTCTTCCCTCTCCCCTCTCCCTCTCTCTCTTCTTCTTCCCGGGCAGTGGACGGGCGGGTGGGTGGCAGGGCAGGCGAGCGAGGCAGGTTGTCCGAGCTCCGATGGCGGCGGCTCGGCATGCGCCATGGGGGGGGATGAGGGACTCGGCGACGATGGGGGCAGGGGCAGGAGCCTTGGAGTTCTTCTTCTTCTTCTTGGCCGGCGCCGGCACAGGGGGTGTCGGCTTGGTGGGGATGGTGGCGGGCGCTTCAGCGATGAGGGAAGGAGGCGAGGCGGCGGCGAGCCTCGACGGGTGCCTTGGTGGACTTGGTGGCCGCCGGCCATCTCTCTCTTGCGCACGCTCGCCGTCCGCCGCCCTTCTCCCTGATGGCCGCGGGCCACCGTTCTTCTCTTTCTCGCGCGTGCTTCCCGGCAAGCCAGGGAGCTCGGGGAGGGAGGAAGGATGCCAGGAGGGAGAAGGGTGAAGGGTGGCGGACGGATCCACAACCGTCGCCGCCTAGCTCCTTCCCGCCGGTCATCGCCCTTCTCCCCGATGGCCGTCGTTCCCATCGGCCGCCGGTCGCCGTTCTTCTCTCTCTTCGCGTGCGCTCGCCGGCCATCCACTTCCGCTAGGAGGCCTCTTCGCCACCCTCGTCGGCCTCCCCGCGTCCTCCCTCTCCGCTATCTCATCTCCAACTCGTCATCTCCCGGTGGGACGGCGGCGCACGGTGCTCGTAGTCGTCGTCGCCGGGCAAGGAGGGAGAGGGGGCCTTCTTGCCACCGGCATGCTTTGACCACCACCCGCCCTACAATGCCGAAGAAGGGAGAAACGAAGAGGATATAGATGACATGTGTGGCCACATGGGCCCACCTTTTTTATTATTTTATGTGCGAAACTGACATGTGGGCCCCATGGGGTTTATTATTATATTTGGATCAAATTGCCACGTAAGCGCCACGCAAGTGCCACGTCGGACGAAGACCTAGTCAAACGATACACGTAGGCGCCACATCGGCCAAAACCGGGGTCAAATACTGTCGAGGGACCTCGATTGCACGGTTTTAAAAGTTGGAGGACGTGTTGTACCCGGTTTTCCGGACTAGGGACAAAAATCAGACTGAGCGACAAATTGAGGGACCTAGAGTGAACTTATTCCGTGGCTAGATGGATCGGCACACCAACGGTCCAACGCTTCAAGGCCTGACTAGTGTTGCGGATGCATGGCCCAACAGGAACAAGGCCCGACTAGTGTTCCTTCCTGAGTTCACCGCAATACGGCCCCGATCGTCGATCGAGGCCCCGGGAAGACCACATGATCACCTCACCACCGCCAAAGCCAAACCAGAATAGTTGAGTAGTAGTAGCTTTCTGCCTAGATCCGGATCCTGGTCGTTTTCCCCCGTGTCTCGTTGCCAAGTTCAAGGGAAAAGCTGAGCCCAACTCGACGGCGGTTGCCTTCGGTTTTGGCATCGTCTGTTTGATGCCTAGCGAGCCAGAGAATGCCACGGAGAAATCTGCCCCGCAGGGTAGTTTTCTCGAGCCTTGCAGAAACTCACCCCAAGTCAACGGAACAGCTAAAAAGAAATAATTTTTTTTCTTGTTTTTTCTTCCCGGTTACATGGAAGACACACATGTACCAGCACAAGCTCAGACATATACTGTGATTCGATCCCACAGTGGATTATAGTGTGTTCGGCAATGCTTGTGGCTGCAGCCGCCGGGCTACCACAGCCTAAAACGGCTGCAGAGGGCAGCAGCTAAAAATGGCCGTAGCCGCAGCCGCAGCAGCTGTAACAACGAGCATTTCTGATCAGCCTAGGTGTTTCTTCATATTCTTTGTTCCTTTAAAAAGGTCAAACACTAAAGAGAAAAAAGAGCCCTCTACATCAAATGGGCAAATTATCAACCACATCTAAAAAATTAAAATTTATACTTAGTTTTGAGGTTTTCTATTGTATTTTATTGTTTAGCATTTATTTTTAAATTACAAATAATATAGGTATAAAAGTATAGCCAGCATTTTGCTTCGTTCTCTTTTCCATGGCTCAGCAGCTAAGAAAAATTGAACCCTAAAATTCCTACATTTTTTTATCATTTTTGCACCATTTCTTATTTTAAAATCAGACACCTACATCAGTCGAAACCCAAATCCAAAACAGAATAGATCAAGCGAATGCCATCCTCCTCTATTTCATTTCAGCTCCAGCCCGCTAACACCACTCCGCCACCGCCCACTATAAACTGTCTGGTGGTGCTCCTAAGCTTGTTGAATTGGCGGCGAGCTGATTTCGAGTGTGAACCTGAACTTTGCTGATAAATCCATTAATAATGCATCCAAGAGAGAAACGCCCAGGGATTTTTTAGGTTAGCTCCACAGTGTGGTGGGCTAACCGGCCTAAGTTCGGAGCCTCACCCATTTTATTTATTTGATATTAGATCATTCCCTAATACTCACGTTCTAATAATGCATCCAAAATGGAGTGGATAGCATCAAATTAGTACCGAATGACCAAGACGGGTTATTGGCTCTATGCTGCTTTTTTTTTTTTGACAAGAAATGGAATCCTGGACGGTCCAAAATTTTCCCAGAGGGTGGCAAAAGCCTCCACGGGGAGTCGACTAGTCGAGGACCATGACAGCTACTGTACAATGCCGATTGCAAAATGCAAAGTCAATAAAGGATTCTTTCTACAAACAATGTCAAAAGAGGAGATATATATGCATCGTTGCTTGGACGGGGACGCAAAATACTTTTGAAAAGTTACATATCTGTACAGGTTAATTTCGTACATCATACTTACTATCAGTCATATGCTACCAACTCTGGAGATGACAATCCCTTCATTTCTCTACCGTTTCCTCCTTCAAATTCTTATCATCTGTGACTTTGTGTCCTGGTACCTGGTTACCTCATCGAGCCAACATCAAGTAATCACGCTTATTGCCACAATTCCCTAGCGTGGGACTACCTTCACATCACGGCCACCGATCCAATCACGTCCACGAACCAATCTTTTTTCCTTTTTAAAGATCTTTTCGGTGGAACTCGGTTTTCAACACAATAGATATGTGTCCCTTTTTTTTTCGAGAACGATATGTGTCCTGAGCAATGATAAAGCCGGTACGTACGATGGGGACACGAGGATGATTGGTGTTGGGCAGCCACCAAATTGGTGCCAAATTGGCAATTAGGCTTGCGCATGCAGTTTCGTGCAGGAGGCAGAGCAAATCTCGTGACAAATGAATGCTGAATCGTGCACTCCGTGCACTCGTGGACGGGGGCCCGTCGGCATGTCGGCCCATATGCCTTTTCGACTCGGGACACAGTTACAGCTTCCTGTTCCTTAAACTTGGGCTACCTTTCCACTCTTTATGAGCCGTTTTATCTTCGAATCCAAATGCTACTATCAAATTCTGCCAAAACGAGAACTGGGATAAGCTTTTGCTCCATAATACTGGTATAATCCACATGCAAATGCCATTCATGATTCATCTGCCAAGTCCGGAAGACCTGTGTACCTCAACCCGGATATCCTGGTTATTAATCCATTCCAAACCTTAGTAAAACAGCGATATACTACTAATAATATGTGTAGGGTGTCGAGGCAGCCGCGCTTTTCGCCCCGAAAAAAGGGGGGTCGCGGATTCGATCCGAGTCCAAGAGAATCAGACAAAGCCGTGACAGCAACGGCCTAGTGATCCAAAGCTAAGTAGTCGTAGTAGTCGTAGCCATCGGCGCGGTGGTCTCATCAGAAGCGGATCGCTCGATCGATCGCCTTATACCTCCACGTCTCGCCGTCCGTCTCCAACCCCAACCCCACCCACTGATCCTGCAGCTAGCTAGCCTCTTCTCCCGTCGCGCGGCGAACCAGGCGCAATGGCGGTGCACCACTCCCTCGAGGTGGCCGCCGCAGGAGGCGACGGCGGCGGCGGCCGATGCTACGACGACGACGGCCACCCGGCACGCACCGGTACGGTACACACACGCTCGTTGTACGTCGTACGTCGTTGTTCCCTGAACCCAGCGCGCTGATCTGAATCCATCCATGCGCGCGCGGGGCGAATGGTGTGGCGGGCGTGCGTGCAGGGACGGTGTGGACGTGCGTGGCGCACATCATCACGGCGGTGATCGGGTCCGGGGTGCTGTCGCTGGCGTGGAGCGTGGCGAAGCTGGGGTGGGTGGGGGGACCGGCCTGCATGGCCTGCTTCGCGCTCGTCACCTACGTCTCCGCCGCGCTGCTCTCCGACTGCTACCGCCGCGGCGACGACGACAAGGGCCCCCGGAGCCGATCCTACATGGACGCCGTCCGCGCCTTCCTCGGTAACCAACACACAACACACAAAATCAAAAGCTAGCTAGCGATTTACGACGACGCAAACCAAACCGAACTTCGCGTTAGCGAATTCGTGGCTAAATTCTGTATACTCTGTCTCTGTGTGTGCACATGGCGCGGCGAATTAACGTGCTCAGGCAAGAAGCACACCTGGGCCTGCGGCTTGCTCCAGTACGCGAGCCTGTACGGCTGCGGCGTCGCGTATACCATCACCACCGCCACTAGCATGAGGTAGTAGCAGCTAGCCCAAGAATCGATGTGCAGGGAGAAACGTGATGGATGATGCATTATGAGTTTTGCAGCGTGGTGTTTCTGTTTCTGTTTCTGTTTCTGTTTCTTCCGTTGATTTTTTTCTTCGGGTTTTGGTGTGTTTTTTGCAGGGCGATCCTGAGGTCCAACTGCTACCACACGCACGGCCACGACGCGCCCTGCAAATACGGGGGTAGCTACTACATGCTCATGTTCGGCGCGGCGCAGCTGTTCCTCTCCTTCATACCGGACTTCCACGACATGGCGTGGCTGTCGGTCCTCGCCGCGGTCATGTCGTTCTCCTACTCGTTCATCGGCCTCGGCCTCGGCCTCGCCAACACAATTGGTACTCTTTGCTTTGGTTTCAGAATCCAATCTGTTCATCCTTTGAGGCTTTGAGCTGCTCAGTCGTAGTACTAGTGCATTTACATGTTCTGTGAGACTAGATGGTCTGATAAATTGGTTCTGAACGATGCGCACTGCAACTAAACATGTAGTATGTGAACATTGAGATTATGTAAAGTTGACAAACCTGTTGCTGTTCTTCAGCTAATGGAACGATCAAAGGAAGCATAACAGGTGCTCCAACGAGAACCCCTGTGCAGAAGGTCTGGCACGTCTCGCAGGCCATCGGCGACATCGCATTCGCGTACCCGTACTCATTAATCCTCTTGGAAATTCAGGTGCACACATAGGAGTACATCTCATCGATCTGAAAGTCTGAAGCCTGAAGTACAACAGTACAGTCGCTGACGAATTTCTTCCGTTACGGTCTGTGTTTGTGCAGGACACACTGAAGGCTCCACCGGCCGAGAACAAGACGATGAAGAAGGCGTCCATCATCTCGATCGTCGTCACCACCTTCTTCTACCTCTGCTGCGGCTGCTTCGGCTACGCCGCCTTCGGGAGCGACGCCCCTGGCAACCTCCTCACCGGCTTCGGCTTCTACGAGCCCTACTGGCTCATCGACTTCGCCAACGCCTGCATCATCCTCCACCTGCTCGGCGGCTACCAGGTACACAGCACCAAGAAACCATTTCAGTGTGCACTGATAGAACTGAAAATAATCCTGAAACACAATCAGTCACTGATCGACATTGCCGGATGATGATGAATGAAAAAAAACTTGGTTTGATCAGGTGTACAGCCAGCCGATATACCAGTTCGCGGACAGGTTCTTCGCGGAGAGGTACCCGGCGAGCCGGTTCGTGAACGACTTCCACACGGTGAAGCTGCCGCTGCTGCCGCCGTGTCGGGTGAACCTCCTGCGGGTGTGCTTCCGGACGGTGTACGTGGCGAGCACCACGGCGGTGGCGCTCGCCTTCCCCTACTTCAACGAGGTGCTCGCGCTGCTCGGCGCCCTCAACTTCTGGCCGCTCGCCATCTACTTCCCCGTGGAGATGTACTTCATCCAGCGCCATGTCCCGCGGTGGTCGCCCCGGTGGGTCGTGCTGCAGTCGTTCAGCGTCCTCTGCCTCCTCGTCAGCGCCTTCGCGCTCGTCGGCTCCATCCAGGGCCTCATCAGCCAGAAGCTAGGCTAAAGATTTAGCCTAGCATCCTGAATTTCGGATTTGCTTTTTCTTTGTGTAACCGTAATGGGATGAGAATGCATTTGGTGGTCGTGTGTTGTTTGTAACAACTGGGGAGCGGAGCTTTGTCCCTGGTGAATGGCGCGATGAACTCATGAACAATAGCATAGTGGTGGTGGTACATTGTGTCTGCAGGGGTCAGAGGGTGGTGGCACTCTGTTTTTCAGTGCCTTTCCTCCTGTGCTGCAGAGAAACTGCTCCTATATATGTACAGAATGTCGTCATATTATTGCCATGATACTTGGAACGGTGAAAGGAACCTGCTCTTGAATGATGTATAAATCAGAGAGAGAAAAAAAGACTGCTCAGTACTGTGTTTATCTATCAGCTTCGTAGAGCTCGGTATGCATCGATTAATTGGTTTCAGGTCGCGTTGGCATTGAGCATGCGTAAGCCATGTATCTGCGTGGTTGATTTTACTGAAATGGTGGGAAAAGAACATGATTCAGGGTGTTCTTGGAACTGGCAGCCGCTGGCCTTTGTGTTCTTGATGATAAGGATAGGGGAATAAAATAGCATCCTCATATCAAGAGTGTAATCAACTAATCATAGTGCTGCAGCCCATAGAAATATGCATTCCCCTTGCTTGTAAAGATCCTACTAGGATAAAACTGTGTGCAGAAATGAATCGTTTATCTTTGACAGTTTTTTTTTTCTTTTTGAGTCTATCCTCCTGAACCTAAGGCTGTAAATTTGTTCGGACAAAGGATCATTACTCATAGCCTGCTATGTTCACAAGGTTTTATATTACTGAATAGTGGTGTTTCATCAAGCAGCATTAGTGAATAGTTGCAGTGGCAGAGTGGTGCAGGGCGTCAGTGAGCGAGATGGCGAGGCGAGAACGCGAGCGGCGCCGGGAGCGCGCGGGGCTTGGACCGTGGCCGTGAGGGGGGTTGACCCGGCGCTGCGCGGGTGGGCAACCTGTCCCGCCCCCCCGGGGGGAGGCTCACGCGTTGCGCGGGCGTTGAATTCTTTATGCCGCCCATGCCGCCTTCGCCCCCCGTGCGCGCGCGCGCGCGCCCACTCGCCGGCGCGGCAGCGCGCGCGCGCGCGCGCGGGCGGTCGCGAGGCCGCGAGCCTATTTATAACACGCGGCGCGGCCGTGTGAGCGCCGCACGCACGCAGCAGCAGCGGAATCTCGACGGCGGCGACATCATGGGGCGGGTGCCGTGCTGCGAGAAGGACAACGTGAAGCGCGGGCAGTGGACGCCCGAGGAGGACAACAAGCTGCTCTCCTACATCACCCAGTACGGCACCCGCAACTGGCGCCTCATCCCCAAGAACGCCGGTACGTTGGCGCGCGCGCCGCCACCGGCGAACGCGTGGTTGCAGCAGCGGCGGCGCTCTGACCGGGGTGTTTGTTGCTGGAACGTTGGCAGGGTTGCAGCGGTGCGGGAAGAGCTGCCGGCTGCGGTGGACCAACTACCTCCGGCCCGACCTCAAGCACGGCGAGTTCACCGACGCCGAGGAGCAGACCATCATCAAGCTCCACTCCGTCGTCGGCAACAGGTAGGCATCAACGAGTGGTCTCGCTACACCGTCTTGTGATCTTGGGTCATTTTTGGAGGAATGTATTGAGCAATGCGGGATGGGGCTGTGTGTGGCAAGGTGGTCGGTGATCGCGGCGCAGCTTCCGGGGCGGACGGACAACGACGTGAAGAACCACTGGAACACGAAGCTGAAGAAGAAGCTGTCCGGGATGGGCATCGACCCCGTCACGCACAAGTCCTTCTCGCACCTCATGGCCGAGATCGCCACCACGCTGGCGCCGCCGCAGGTGGCGCACCTCGCCGAGGCCGCGCTGGGGTGCTTCAAGGACGAGATGCTCCACCTCCTCACCAAGAAGCGCCCCTCCGACTTCCCCTCGCCCGCCGTGCACGACGGCGCCGGCGCCGGCGCCAGCGCGTCCGCGCTCGCCGCGCCCTGTTTCCCCGCCGCGCCGCCGCACCACCCGCAGGCCGACGACACCATCGAGCGCATCAAGCTCGGCCTGTCCCGCGCCATCATGAGCGATCCCTCCACCGCCTCCGCCGCCGCCGCCGCCGCCGCGCCCTCCGCCCCCGCGGAGGACAAGCCGTGGCCGCCCGGCGACATGTCCGAGGGGCTCGCCGGGATGTACGCCACGTACAACCCGGCGGCGCACGCGCACGCGCAGGCCCAGGCCGAGTTCCGGTACGACGGGGCCTCCGCGGCGCAGGGCTACGTCCTCGGCGGCGACGGCGACCAGGGCACGTCGATGTGGAGCCACCAGAGCCTGTACAGCGGGAGCTCCGGCACCGAGGAGGCCAGGCGGGAGTTGCCGGAGAAGGGCAACGACAGCGTCGGCAGCAGCGGCGGCGACGACGACGCCGCGGACGACGGCAAGGACAGCGGGAAGGGGGCAGCCTCCGACATGTCGGGCCTGTTCGCCTCCGACTGCGTGCTCTGGGACTTGCCCGACGAGCTCACGAATCACATGGTGTAGCTAAGCTATAAAACGCGGGAAAACTTAGCACGGCGAAGCACGCCATGATCCACATCACTTGCAGTTGCAGGTGGTGAGAATTGGATAGAGCGAAAAATTGCTACCAATAATATTGCTGAAAGAGTGACAGAAAAAGTGAAAAACTATAGTATGTAGCTGGCAAGAAAAATGGGGATTCTTTTTGCTTGGAAAAGAGAAAAAAAAGTGAGATGTGAATAGTTTTACCGAGAAGCACTGATTGATTGAGTGATTGAGCCGGAGGCCAAGGTATTTTTCCAGTCCTCTGCTTCAGTCGCACTCCATGAGCAATGGATAATTCAATTCAGTTCAGACAGATTGTTTACTTCTTCCATGGATCATATTGTCTGATGATGAGGTTGATGGGAAAACGTCAATATGCAACTCTAGCATGTTATATAAATGGTCATGAAAATTCAGAGAAAAAAAAATCTATAACAACGCTGCACCCAAAAAGATTGTGTGCTGTCTAAACTTCAGAAAATCATGTGAAATTTCTGAATTTTAACCATGAGTTGCACAACTGTACCAAAGAAGGCTAGAACCCAGAAATAAAACCTGTGGATCTGACATTTTGATAGATTATAGAACTGTAGATCAATATTCTCAGTTAAGACTCCACGAGAACACGAAGTTACATCAAATGGTGTTATGTGTTTGCATCAGTAAAGAAATTTGTTGTTTGATACAGCAAAAGTAGCAGTGGTATAAAAATCATGAATGCAACTATTGATGTCCATATAGGATCTATTTGATCTAACAGGCTGAATACTCAGTATTACCATGTTAGCAATTCCCAGTGCTAAAATAAATGCCATCTACCTTATCAACCTCGCGGTAGCTGGTATTACAGTATTAATGATGCCACATTTCCCACCTATAAATTGGCATGAAAACAAACTGTTCCGTTCAGTCCAGACTGAACCACCAATCAGTAGCCGTGGAACACCAATACAAGCGGCGTCAAATTAAAGTGAGGGATTGTCATCAAGGAGGTTAGGCTAATGGTTTCACGGAAGACAAGAAAACCGTTTTCAGATTCTCATCCTCCCATACTAGCTTGTTCCACCATGTCTGTGTACACTGGAGTTCTTTCAGGCATCCTGCCACAAGATTAAGCTTCTTAAGCCTGCTGCATCTGACTACTTTGAGGCTCGCCAAGCTTGGGAAATTCACTGCTATGGATTCAGGGCCTATGCTTCTCATGTTTGGCAAGTCGTGCAACTCTAACTCCTTGAGGCTTGGAAAGACCGTCTCCGCAGGCGATCCATGGCTCAATCCTTCTGTGTCGTAGGATATAAGATGCTCAAGAACACTGCAGGATGAAATGCTCAAGGAGGATAAATACTCCAGGCTGCCACCCTGCCAAACAATCTTGGCCTTTGGGAGCTTGCGAAGGATGATACTTTGGAGAGAAGGCAGCAGGGGTACCAGCTTGCGGCAATCCATGTCCAATGACTGGCTAGTCTGTGGACGATACACGCTGTCAACGTCCAAAGGCTTATCGGGCACCCTGTAACGCATCATGCTGACAGTCCGATCAAGTGACCATGGTTGCTCGCCCTTGTATTCACCTCCGGTAATAATGACATTCTCCAGGTTGCAGCAGCCACTGATGATGATGCCCTTCAATCTGCTCATGTGCCTCCAGAGGCTGGAAGGCGAAAACTGGATGCTCGGCAAGTCGCTGCAGTCCTGGACATGCAAATTCCGCAAGTGCTCTGCGAGATGAGGAGACTGCGAGAGCTTCTCCAGAGAGTGGAGCGTTTGCACGGATATGTCAAGCATCTGCAAGCTTTTCAGGCTCTCGAGTTCGCGCAGGTTGACGCGTTGCCGGAGGTCGTGCCGCCTTCGTTTTCTTGAGTCACCGGACTCAGGCTCACAGCTTCCGACGTCCATCCAACTGCTCCAGCAGTGGTCCATGCACAGGACCTGCAGCGCCGTGAGCGGGTTTAGCACGCCGGCGGCAATGGTTTGGACGGGCACATTGGACAGCAACAAGAATCGCAAGTTCACCAGGGCTCCTATTCCAGCGGGCAAGGACCGGATAGTCGTGTTGTTGAGACGAAGGTACTGCAGGGTGACAAGGAGGTTGATCTCGGAGGGCAATGCGGTGATCAGCGTGTCCGATAGGTCCAGCAACCTGAGACAAGGCATGAAGCTGAAGAAGTCGTGGCATATCCTCCCCAGCAGCCGGTTGCTCTGGAGCAGCAACGTTTTCAGAACAGAGCACGTCGGTGCATCATTCAGCTCGTTGATGCCAGTCCGCATCAGTGACACCCTCTCAGCGCCTGTCCATTTATCCGCCCGTGGCGCGGCGCTTGTCACAAGACCTGCTCGGACTAGCCACTTGTTGTCAATCCTGCCGCAATCTGCAACCACCCACAAGGCCATGGCTCGCACCATGGGATGCATGGTGACATGGTAGTCACCGGCTGCTTCCAGCAGAGAGGAGGTCACTAGGATACCAAGCATGTAGTGGCCTTTGTTGTAGAGATCATCCATGTCATCAGCAGACACATCGCTCACAAATCCTTCTCCGATGAAGCTCTCGACAAGTAATTCCTTGGACGTCTCTCCCGAGAACAAAGAGCAATACAGGAGGCAGATCCTGAGGCTGTCGTCCCGTAAGCTGTCATAGCTCCGCTTCAGGCTGACGAGGAGGTTGGCCTCGACGCCGTCGAGCTGCCATGGCGCCAGATTGAGCACGGCCATGCTATGTTCCCACTCCCGCGTTACCCTTTTGCAAGCCATGGCCCGTGCAACCGTGATGAGACCGAGGGGCAGGCCGCCGCACCGCGACGCCATCGCCTGGGCAAGCGGCTGGATCTCCCTGCTGGTGACGAACGCGTTGCCCACCTTGTTCTTGAACAGCTCCCACGAATCGGCCGCGGACAAACACTCCACCTTGATCTTCCTCGTCACGTCCATCTGGTCGCACACGTGCTCGAGCCGCGTCGTCAGCAGCACCTTGCTCTTGCCGTGCCGGCCGGGCACGGGGACTCCGAGCTCCGCGAGGTTGAGGGGCTCCCACACGTCGTCCAGGAGGAGCACGAAGTTCCACCGGTGGAGATACGTGCACAGGGCGAGCGCCTTCTCCTTGGTGCTCTTCCCGTCCTCCCACCGGAGGCCTAGTCGGCCGCCGATGGCCTTCTGGACGGCGCCCGCGCTGTAGCGCTCCGTGACCTCCACGTAGATGACGAGATGTATGTCCATGGACGCCGCGGACGCCGAGAGGAAGGTGTTGTTGAAGTGGTGCAACAGGGTGGTCTTCCCGACGCCCGGCGCGCCATAGATGCCGATCACGCTGGTGCCGCCCTCCTGGAACGCATTCGCGACCCGCGCCAGGAGCGCGTCCAGGCCGATCGACGGGGCCGCCGTCGGGAGCACCTCCGTGCAGGCGAACACGGGCGCGTCCGCCACCTTCTGGAAGGTGGATCTTTGCTCTACAAGTGACACGGCTTCGGCGCGCGCCTCGTCGGCGCGCTTGCTCAGCCGGTAGGCTGCACGCAGGCCAAGCCCCCCCGCCGCCGCCCCTCCTCTAGGGAACTCCGCGACGATCCCGATGGCACGAACCAAGAGCGAGGCAACGGCTTCGAGCCAGTGGCTCACCTGGTTGGTCGCTTCCATGCCCTGCCTCTCCGCTAACCTCACCTCTTTCATCACATCGTCGCGCTGGCTCTTCAGCCATCTAGCCTCGGACTCGAGCGCCCGGATGTAGCCCACCGTCCGCGTGAACAAGTTCCGCAGAGGCCGGAAGATGTTGTCAATCGCGAATTCCATTCTGCAATTCAGCAATAGTACTGGAGTGGCAAGAACAGGATGTCGAATCTAAAAAAACGAGAGGTTAGAACTCAAACAGATCTCCTAAACCAGATCGATCCGGCGGAGTGGCACTGCCGGAGTGGGGGAGAAGATTAGGGCTTTCTGACTTAGTCAACGCTCGTTTAGCCTTGTGCTATTTCTACATGCATATATTTGGCATGGGCATGAGATGGTAAAACTAGTGAAGTGCCTGCTGTGACAATGTTAAGGTCTGTTTGGATCATGTAGTTCTGTACTGAAATTAGTCTCTGGATTAAAAATTTTAGGGGTTGTTTGGATGGGGCTAAAAATTTTTAAGTCCCTGTCACATCGGATGTTTAGATGCTAATTTAGAGCATTAAATATAGACTAATTACAAAACTCATTTCATAACCTTGGACTAATTCGCGAGATGAATCTATTATGACTAATTAATCCACGATTAACCTATGTGATGCTATAGTAATCATTGGCTAATTATAGATTAATTAGGCTTAAAAAATTCGTCTTTCGAATTAGCTCCCACTTATAAAATTAGTTTTTATTATTAGTCTATATTTAATATTTCAAATTAGTGTGCAAACATGGATTCAAACCTCACCTTAGTCCCCTACTGTTTGGATCTAGGGACTGAAAGCACGTGGATCGAGGGAGAGAGAAGAGAGAGGATGTCACTTAAGTACCTCTAAGAGAGACTAATGGATTTTAGTCTCGATATGTACTTTTAGTCTATTTTAGAGCATCAGCAACATATTAGCAGTAATATATTCCCAAAATTTGATTTTTGGGATTCCTAAACTAAAAATAGAAAATGAAAAAACTTCTCGCTCCAAGAGATAGCCTAAATTCAATCTCCAAAATTTAAAAGTGAACCCTTCTGTTAAACTAGCGCTCGCGTGGGAAGGAGAGGAGAAGCGTGGGGAATTAGAGAGAAACACGCGAACAGGAGATTGAGAGTCGCTCTCTCACCCTCAAATCTACAAAGCGAAATATATGGGGATGGAACTCTAAAACTAGTGCAAGGCGCTATTGGGGTTCTGTTGGATCCAATTTTCTCACTAATATTACTGAGTTTTGGGAATGAAATAGGTTGATTGTTGATGATGCTCTTAGTACCCCAGTTTGAATTTTTAGAGACTAATAGATTAGTCCTATATACCAAACAGAGTCTAACTACTCATATACTCGTATACTAGTCTCTTGAAGTGCCTGTTGTGTTTTAAAAAGAAAAAAAAAAAAGAACTACTTGTACTCTTGACTCCATATAAAGAAAGCATGCAACTTGCATATGAGTAAGAAAATACCATTGGCAGTAGAAGCAACGATCACAATTGAAAACGTAACAAGCAACTTGGGTACAAGTCAGAAATTTAATATTGAAACTATCACCTACTCCTGCTAAATTTAATATTTAATATTTTAATATTACTACTAATATGTACTCCCTCTGTGTAAAAAAAACCCAATTATATGTTTGAATCTGTCATTTACTCCTATTTCCTAAAATGAACCCAACATAAAAAAAAGCAACCGCATATCCGTTGATTTTACATATTGCGCTAAAATAATACATATAGAACATTAAGAGCGAGTACAATAGCAGACTATAAGTCGGTTATAAGCATATGTGGAGAAGAGAAGTGGACTACAGTTTCGCAGCCAGCTGTAACACAGACTTCAAGATGTTATAGGGATAATATTTAATCAAACATTTGAAATTTCAACCATCATTAATTTCTCAAATGATTAGTTAAAAAAAGGATATAAGTAGATTTTCCTAAAAAGTAATCATCATATCATAAATTTATCATATTTTATAGACTTTCTAATAATAAAACGATTTTTTAAAAATTAAAGTTTGATTGAATATTGTCCTATGTGTAAAATATTTACGACAGAAAAGGTGATATTTTTTATAGATGAGATCCCCTTCAATCTATCTATCTATATTTTATTTATATAGCTCTATATATACTAATCAGGAATTACGAGAAAATAAGATTTCACTATCTATAAAGCAATCTATCTTTAGTTTATACCTTTGTATATAATTGTTTATATTTAAATAATATTTTAAAAGTGAGAAACTATAAATTTTAAAATCAACATCTGTCAAATCGTGAAAAACACTATAATCACGACTCCAAACGAGAAAGGATTTACTAGGTGGGAATTCGATAGAAGTTAATTCTGTAAATTTCTTCATAGTTTCATGTAAAAATTCAGAATTTTAAGCATGAATTGGGTCCTATTTGAAAGATTAGCCCACATAGCTAATTTTAAGAGCTAATGTTTATTCTTGAATTGGTAGGACATTAGCCTATGATGACATGTTTGAATCCATGGGCTAATTCAGAGCTAAAAGGTAGAAAGGGAGTAGAGAGAGAGAGGGGGGGAGATATAATTGCTTTTTGATGGTCCCATGGAAAATTAACCCCATTAAGGCATCTACAATGTAAGACACTCCTAGAGTGCCCTCACTAACTGAGGGTACTCTAGGGGTACTCACCTCTACAATGCAGACCACGTCTGGGTAGCCCAATGAGTGTCCCAACCCAAAAAAGCCCCTTTCTCTCCTCTTCCTCTCTTTCCTATTCTACCCCTCTCTTCCCTCTCTCTCTTTCTCCCTCCGCACGACCGCACGCGCGTTCCTCTCTCCCTCCGCCCGTCGTTCCACTCGCCGTCTTCTTCCCTCTCTCTCGCCGCCGCCTTCTTCCCTCTCTCTCGCCGCCGCTTGCCGCCTCCGCTCGCCTCCCTCTCCCTCTCCCTCTCCCTCTCTCTCCCGCTGCCGCCCCCGAATCGAGCGCACAGGGCGGAGGGAGAGAGGAACGCGCATGCGGTCGTGCGGAGGGAGAAAGAGAGAGAGGGAAGAGAGATCCGGGGGCGGCGGCGGCGGGCAGTCGTCGTCGTTTGGTGGCCGGAGCGGCAGATCCGGGGCGGAGGCGACCAACGGCGAGCGGTGCACGGGGCGGAGGCGGCAGTCGTCGTCCCTCTCTCTCTCTCCCGTGGAAGGTGGTGGCGGCGACCCCGGAGGCGGCAGATCTGGCTCCCCGGCAGATGGAGCGGCGCCGGCCACGCCGCATCGAGACGGTGGCGGCGCCGACGGTGGCCACATCGACGATGGCGCCGTCATTCTTAACCGTGCTCGCCGACGCTGCCTCCCTCCTCACCCTCCCTTCTTCTCTCCGACGGCAAGCGGCCGCATTGAGGAGACGGTGGTGACACCGGCGGTGGCCGCATCGACGTTGGCGCCGTCGCCTTCTACACAGCGCTCGTCGACGCCGCCTCCCTCCTCGCCCTCCCTTCTTCTCTTCGGCGGCGAGCAGCGCCTCTGCCTTGCCCTTGACGCGTGGGCCGGTGACAGAGAGGAGATGGGTGGAAGAGGAAATCGAAGCTCTGTGGTGCGTCGCCTCAAGAACCTACGTACGCAATGGGTTGCTTCGCCCCGTCCCCCTGGAAAAAGCGATTGAGCGACGCGTCCCCTAGCAGGGGCGTGCGTTCCATCCCAGGGGACGACGCGGACGGAAAGCCTAACAGACAACGCTAGGGGGACGGGCCGAAGCACCGCATTGGTGATGCCCTTAGGTCATCTAGTTTCCATAGCATTAAATACATTGACACATAAGCAAAAATCCTATGTGGCAAGAGAGTTAATGATGAGAGAGGTAAAAAGATGAAGAAACCATTTCTACACAAGAACGAATAAAATTAAGGGGATATGTGGATAAAAGGAGAGAGAAGAGAGGTGATTAGATGGGAATTTAATTTGAAGACATCCATTGAATATATAATTATATGTCTAGATTCATTAACATCAATATTAATGTGAGAAATTCTAAAATGACTTACATTGTGAAACGGAGGAAATATATGACATGGCAAGTATGAAAACTAATTCACTTTAGTTCCAAATTAGCCCATCTGTTTGGATCTTGGAGGCTAATTTAGAGCTAACAAGTGGGGGTTAATAATTAGCATATGGAATCAAACGGGGCCCTGCACAATGCCACCAAGAAACCCGTTATGAAACCAATGGACAACTTTGATCGCTTGTAGACCGTTGATCAAAATTCTTTGTTCAGACCCCTTCGCTGCTAGCAAAGCGCCAGATCCTTTGCACTAGTCCTTGATCTGGACCGTCAATATAGAAATCCGACGGCCACAGTCTACAAACCGTCGACCCAACGCCCTCCGTTCTTCGACACCCTCCCAACCCTTCACCCTTTCTCTCGCGGCTCGTTTGGTTGGGGGAATTTTCCAAGGATCCCGTTTCCGTTTCGAGGTGCCCATGGCGCTGGCGGCGCAGCTCTACGGATCGGCGGCGGCGGCCGCGTACCGGAGACTTCCACTCTACGGAGTTCCTTCGTCATGCCGGTGGCCGCGGACTCCTCTCGCCGCTCTCCCGAAGGTAAAGCCCCGATCCAAGCGGTAAACCCTATCTGTCAGTGCAGTGAGTGATCTGGTGTTCTCGTTCGCTGCATGTTCGATCATTCAAGGTGTCGTGTTCGCTGTTGTTGGATGAAAAGCATTAGATCCCGAATAGGTGAACAAAATGGTTCTTTGGTGATGTTCAATTGGTTAAGCTGCTGATGTAAATTTGACGAAATAAACATGCTACTGTTGTTTGATGAAGGGTAAATTTTCTTGTACGGAGTTTTGTTTCTTGAGCTCTTATTTTCTGATGTCCTCCGAACATGCTAAGGTATCAAGTACTCCATCTGTGACATTATGTATCCATGTTCTAGTTGAAAGGAACTCAAGAAGAAAGAAAGAAACTATTTTTAATTTCTTTTGAATGTTCTGTTATCGGAGGAATACTCCATATTTCAAGGATTACCCGTGTAAATAAATGGATTTTCTTGGATGTATTGCGAGGGATGCACTTTGGCATGGATCACCTATGTAAATAAATGGGTTTTGTTGCATGTATCGCGAGGAATGCACTTTGGCATCTATACTCCAATTTCCCCCCTTCTGGAAAATGCACATGATAAAGTTTTGATTTAACCTGTATATCTATGTAGGAGCATTCCTTGCTAATAAATTTTGCATGGAGTGTAATTGTATAACTACTAGAATTATTTTTTTTATCAAAACAATTGAAAGCAAAACAGTTAACTGTTTACCTATTATGTTGCTTCAGCTTTCCATCTCCACCGGTGGAATGGGTATGAATCCGTTTGGTGTTGGTGCTAAAGTTTCAATAAAATGTACAAATGGGACCACTCAGGTTGATGAGTTAAACTTCAGATCAAATCAAACTGAGGAATTAGTAGAAGGAGATGCAGATACTGTTACCCAGAAGAGGAGTGCAAAAATCCATGATTTTTGCCTTGGGATCCCTTTTGGTAAGTTTGAATTTCATGATTGTAGAACCCTGATGTCACCACATTGATTTGCACTAGCAGAACTCATATATTGTGATGTGTTGTTCTTTGCCTCCTTGTTTGATAAAGAAGTGTACAAACAACTAATTGCAAGCAAAGATGAGCTTTTAATTGCATAATTGCCTGGAAATGCTGTCACATGTTTGGTACCACAAGTTTCAGAAACACCTCAGTTTTTATTATGCAGCAAAGCTCTTGAAGTTTCTATTACATTGATACGAGGCATCAGATAAATAGTCTTGAATCAGTGGAAATAATACTGCCATTACTGCTCTGTTTCGTTTTCACACTTAAATGTTCCTTATTCCTTGAGTATTTCCAGGCATGCAGTTATTTTTTTCTCAGCAGGTTCATCTTTAACTTTTGGCCTGTAAATTATGTGGATATAATGGTGAAAATATCAATTTTGTTATCTTGATTGTATCTGCATAACAAATAACAAAAACACATTCTTTTACGAGGGGAGTAACAATGATTCATATGATAGTGCAGGTGGTCTTCTATTCTGTATGGGGCTTCTAGGATACATTTTTTCAAGAAGTACCATAAGCCTTGTTTTAGGTGTTGCACCAGGGCTCACCACGCTCTTTCTTGGTACCCTCAGTCTTAAATTCTGGAGGAGTGGAAAATCCAGTTTCATATTTATCTTGGGCCAAGCAGGTGGGTCCTTGCCTCCTTGGGTCAAGTATCACTATACTAAGCCTGCTGTTACTAATATCTGTACTGAATTAATGTAACCATGATCATACACTCATACACATCACTAATTGACCAGTTCTTTGTGATTTTGCAGCAATTTCTGCTGTTCTAGCATGGAAGTATTCCCATGCCTACATCTTGGTAACCACCGTTATTACCTTCCCGTTCTTATGTAGCGTAACATCTTAGTTGCACTGATCTTTATTTTGTTTGTGCAGACAAATAGAATCCTCCCCTGGGCCTTCTATGCATCTCTGAGGTATTGCGCTCTCTATTGTTCATCTGAAGCCCTTCTTTTTGGGTAGAAGAGGATATGATATATTGCTACTCTGTCTCCAAAATGGTGCAGCACTGCCATGGCTTGTTTCTACGCTTATGTGCTGCTCTCCGGAGGAAATCCACCACCTAAGAAGAAGATGGCAGCAACTCCATCATCATAGAGCAGGATCCAGGCATTTTCTTAGTGATTAACGCGACAGGATGATTTGGCCTTTGTGCCTTTTAATGCTTTGTCTGCAAGTATAACAGAATTTTGAGTTATCATCCCATTTGTATATTCCCTAATCTTACATTCTCTGTGGATTTTGGTTGTTGTAGCGTGAAGCTTTTTGAACAAATAATTCTGCAGGATGGCAATCCATCCTTACTGAACATTTTGCTCTTTTTTTTTCCCTCCAAGAGCATAAATAAAGGATATGTGTTTATTTAACGTGCTCAGTGGTTTCTTTTGTCATTGGAGTTAGTATTAGGCCACTCCCAACGGGAGTTTCATCCCCATTAAATTGGGTGCCATGTCAGTAATTTTATGATGTGGCATGAAATTAATAAAGTGAGAGATGAAATGAGTTTCATCTTTCAATATAGTTTGTCTCTTGTATGTACTACCTATGAAACAACAAATAATGAAACCATACAATTGTACGAGCTATTTTGATCATCAATTAAATGTCTTGTTGCTTATGACACTTTTGGGACAAAAAAAATAACACCTTTCACTGTGAATGGCCTAAAAATTCTAGCTAGCTGATCGGGGTTCTGACTCTACCCATCACGATTTAAATCCTAATGTCACGAGTATTATACTCAAGTAAGTGGATTTTCAATAAAAAATTAGTAAGACCGAGAGATTTATTGCTAGTCTCCATCTTTTTTAGCGTGTGTTAGAGGGAAACACGTTTGGAGTTGAATAGAAATTTGGCTACATTTTATACTAACTAGTCGGCAACTCTTGTTATAAATTCATCTTTTCGAAAGCAAATGAAGCCTTTGTAGTGGATTTGTGAAATACTTGGTTAAATCTAAGCCTCTTATCAGCCACAGAAAATGAAGCCCAATAACGGCCCAAGTTAGCCAACAAGACCAGCTTTGGCGTCTTGGCCAGATCAAATTAGGGTTTTGCTCCTCCCGCTCCGAGAAAGCGAGCAGCTCGAGCTCCGCCGATTCCCACCCGTGGCTCGTCGCCGCCTCCGCCTCCGCTCCTCCCTCCCGCCGCCAAGATGAAGCTCGTCAGGTGAGGCTCCGGTTCTTCTCCACTTCGTTCTGTCCCGTTTCGTTTCCCTGTGTGTCTTCCCTTTGCTGATCCGTATGGTGCAAATTTTCCCCCGCGAATTTTTTTGGTGCGGATTTGGGGCGTGGGGGGTTTCGCTGCAGGTTTCTGATGAAGCTGAACAACGAGACGGTCACCATCGAGCTCAAGAACGGCACCGTCGTCCACGGAACCATCACCGGTAAGCTTTTCACCTCGCCCACAGGCCACAGGTCGCAAGTAGGGAATTTTTGAAAAATTTAGGGGCTCTCCCTGGTGCTTGTGTTCCTAGGATTTATTATGTGTTCCGATTCGACATATGGCCATATGGGAGAACAGTTGGATGTGTTTGTGCTGCATTTTGTTTGTTTGTGTGGCACGGTTTTCTGATGCTTTTGCAGTAACAGTAGGAATTACTACATTATACTTCTAAAATAATGTTCTTCAGTTTCATAGATGGTTTGATAAATATGAATAATAGTGGAATGTTCAACCTGAAAGTGTGGTGGCATGGATAAGTTGGTGTTGAGAATTCATAATATGTGATGGGATATTCTAATGGACTTGGCTGCCAAATTGGGATATTTCTAACTTATGTTGACCCTATAATGAGTATTTTTACCTGTGTGGTGTAGCAGTATGTCAAGAATGATTTCATATAAAATTACATTTACATCCGTAATACCAAATAAATGCATTATCAAGACATTTTGTGGAGGATTTAACAAAACTAATTTGATGTTGTAGATGTTGATGCATTTTTCTGTAAACCTGGTCAAAGTTTGAGAAGTTTGACTTATGACAAAACTAAACACCTTACAATATGAGATGGAAGGATTAAATAAATACTACATTGTATTGCTGAAATAATGTTCTTTTGGTTCATAGATGGTTTGATTAATGCGAATTACATGGGGTTTGTGGACGTTCATCAATCTATCTTTTTGTGAGGGTCATTGCTGAGTGCTGAGTATCACAGTTTGGGGATGGAATTATTTGAGTTCTCCCTAGGTCTATCAATTAAAAAAAAACAGCCTGAAAGTGTAATCACATAGATAAGTTGGTGTTGAGAATTGAAAGTATGCAACGGGATGTTCTAATGGACCGGGCTCTAAAATTACGATTTTTCTAAGCTAGCCTCACCTAACTTTTGTTGGCCCCATAATAAGTCTCCTTTACCTATGTGGTGTGGCTGTGTGTCAAGATTGATTTTATAGACAATAGGAAACAGAGATGTTTGGATATTTTTCATGTTTCTAGCTTTCTTCATGTTGGTTGAGGTGTTTTTAGGTGGACAAGGCTGTTATGTCCTGGAATGTTTCAATTCTGATTCATCAACCTTTTGCAGGTGTGGATATAAGCATGAACACCCACTTGAAGACTGTTAAGCTCACATTGAAAGGGAAAAATCCTGTAACCCTTGACCACCTCAGTGTGAGAGGAAACAACATTCGCTATTACATCCTCCCTGATAGCTTAAATCTGGAAACTTTACTAGTAGAGGATACCCCGAGAGTCAAGGCTAAGAAGCCAACTGCAGGTATGAAAAAGTTCCCCTACCCATCTAGTTTTGAGTTTGATCGATACAAGAACTATCAATTGACCTACCAATCTTCGTTTGTAACCAGGGAAACCTTTGGGGCGTGGGCGCGGACGCGGTCGTGGCCGTGGTCGGGGCCGGGGGCGCTGAGCTTTGTTATTCCCTGTTTTGTGAAGCTCTTGCAGTGCAAAAGTATTTCAATTCTATTAGAACAGAGATGCCAATCTCAGTAGTTCTTGCTGTGGAATCATCCTGGCATTTGACCTAATGTTCATGTCTATCAGGTTACATCATTCATAATGAACATGGGCGATGCCTTTTCTCAGACCTTCGAGATTTTAAGTGGTATGTTGTTAGTTTGGTTATTTTAATATAATTCTTCTGCCTTAATACTGAGTAAGTGCTTGAAATGTCTTGATCTATTAAGCATGTCTGGTATGAACTTTCAACCTTGGCCTTTGGTGCTGTTTTCTTATCTCAAAAGACAAAAGGAATACTACTAGTAGTTTGTTTTCTTCATAAATCATAATCATTCTTCCCCCATTTGGTAGGTTGTTCATGTGATTTGCTGGGCTGTCAGCAGTAGCTAAATTCCTAAGTTAAAACCGTGTAAATGATACTCCCTCCGTTTCACAATGTAAGTCATTCTAGCATTTCCCACATTCATATAGGTGTTAATGAATCTAAATATATATAGATGTCTAGATTCATTAACATTTATATGAATATGAGAAATGCTAGAATGACTTACATTGTGAAACGGAGGGAGTACGTAAGATTGAAGTTGCTGGTGGTACTCTTCAACTCATGCTCGGTTCGCAGTCTCTGGACCCCCTCGAATCCCTTTCCTTTTTTCCCCCTTTTGTGCCTTTGATTCTGCGGGCGCCGTGCTTCTTTGCCTATCCAACAGCAGTTGCAACGAGCACTGGTGATTTACCTGATTGGCCGGCCGATTGCTTTGCTTTCCCATCGAAGCAAGTACGCTGTCGCGATCGCATTCACTTCTGCAACCTGGTCAGCCAATTCATCCCGTGCTCACTGCTCGGCAAACGGCATTATCATGTCCTAATGATCTGATCGTCCCATTTAGAAATGGCAAGGCGACACATGTAGCTCTCCCAGAATTAACTCCTTTCACCCACGATGCACTGCAAATACTACTACTTGATAACCATCATCCTGGTCTTTATGGGCAGAGCCATGTCCATGTGTCCGTGATTAGTCCATACAGTCGTCTGGCTATCTGCAACCGAAGATTCCGGGCATGGCAAAAAGGTAGTAAAAGGCCCATCACTCCAAAGAGTACAAACAGTCACCAAGCTTCGCTATAGTAGCTAGCTTGTCCCTGAAGCGACACTGCGGATACCATGCCATCCAGGAGAGGCACAAGGACGACACTTGTGCATGCAGCGGCTTCTCTCCGATAAAAAGGGCGTGCAGCTTGGGCTGTCCGGCGAGAGAGGGGTGCAGCAGTGCAGTGGAGAGGCATGTGCAAGCTCAAGTTCAACAGGGAGAGGGTGGGGTGCTACCTGCTGGTGATCCTGGTGGTGGCCCTCCTCATCGGCGTCCTCTTCGGCCTCGGCGTCTTCCGCCACGGCTACGAGCGCTTCAAGGACCTCGGCCGCAACCACACCTGCTACGACTGCAACACCGGCTGACGCTTTCTCGATCAGCTGCTCAGGTTTCCAAGTAGCTATTGCTCTGGTGCGGAGTAGCGTCTAAATTAATAAATTCGTGGTTTTTTGGGGGTAGTAGTCGTTGTTGTTTTGGTTTTGTCCTTGGTAGTCGTTGTTGTTTGGTTTTGTCCTTGGTTTCATTCTTGCCAAAAGCAATAGAACTGCTGTTTCTCTCGTGTTGTACACTTGTACTGCCTCATTTGTTCAGTTGTTTCTGTTGTGGTTGTACTGCGTCGATCATTCAGTCAGTACTCATAGGAGAAACAGTTAAATTCACAGACCAATATTAAAGTAATTTTGAGCATGATATGATATGATATGATCAGAATTATGATGCTCTTGCCCATATTACACTGCTACAAGGTTACTATTTAGTAACCTTTTTGATTATATATATGCATCTCCATGTTCCATGCCTTGGTTAAGATATATGTCCACTGAGATGAAAAGAAGGGTCACCAGCATACCTGAGTATTAAACAACAAAAAAATGTATATATTCCTCACAAAAAAGTAGTTGGATAAACTCAATTACACTTGCACTCCCTCCAGTTCCGCCGTAACCAAAAGCTTCTACTTTCGCACATAAAGCATACAAACGGGCCTTTTAGAACCGAATAAGCTCGTAAATGACTTCAATGATAGACGGTGGCCTGATAATAAACAAAAGCAAATGATTGAAACAACAGGATCAAAGTACCAAATATTCAAACCATGCATTGCTATTGTAATTACACATGCAGACAATAAGAATTCCTAGATGCCAAGTGGCATGAAGCTGTAAAAAAAAATCTAGAGACTACTGTTTATGCACAGCAGACATAAATGAACCGAGTCTTTTGGCATGTTAACACTGGAGCAACTACGTTTCAGTCAGCATCAAGAAGATGATTCCAAGGGTAAGTGGCAGTGTGACACACGATAGACACCCGAGTATATCGTTCCATTAGCTACTGCAGCAGCCACCCCCTTGAGAAGACGAGGAACCAGCACCTCCGGATTGGCCCGGGACCGTGTAACCAAGTTTGATTCCATTAGCCTGCAAATTTTTAAAAGGACACAAAACTCATGCTCAGGTCAATATGTCAATACAGTAGCCAAAAGCAATCACAAGTGCTCTCTTGAGGAGAAGAATGTAGCAGTGCTCTTGCACTCATTTGATTCCTATACCAATATAGAAATCTAAAACACCTCCTTTTCTTCTTTTTTTTTCTTTGGGAGGATAGGCATTTTGTAATACATCTCCTTTTTTGCCATTAAAAGAGGCAAAATGACCATTTTTGGTCCCTCGATCATTTTCGGTTTAATTACAGACTCAGTTTCAAGTTCAGTTATTCCATTCAATTACAGGAAACATTGACCTGAAAATGTATACACAGTTTTTTTTTGTGTGTGCTTCTAGGGCCATGTTAAAGTTTTTGCAGTGCATAAGTTAATTACAGACTCTGTTTCTACTACTTATTCAGTTATTCCTCTCAGGAAAGTTTTGCAGGGCATATGTTAATTAAGAATACACTTATGTTGTATAAATAATGATCTAGTTCACATCAGACATGCTCAGAAGAACAATATGATTTGTGTTTGTAAATTTACCTCAATACATTACATACATTCCTAAAAAACTTTACCTCATTAGATAAATCAAAGACACCATCTTGAATTTTCTTGTATATTGCTCCAGCAGTCTTGACAAAAGCCTGTGTAACAGTTGGGATAAGAAAAACATCTGGAGAAAGCTCTTACTTGCACATATGCACCGATAAGAAAAAATCATTTACCTCCTCAACATTCTGCGCGGTTTTTGCAGACGCCTCCATAAATATCAGACCGTGCTCTTTTGCAAACTGCTCGCCTTCCTCATAGCTCACAGCACGCCTATGAGATAGATCAGATTTATTTCCAACAAGCATTATTGTCATGTTAGCATTCGCATGTTGCCTTGCATCTTCCAGCCAGCTCGCAAGATGATTGAATGTCTCCCTCCTGAAGTCAGTATAACGTAAACATATGTGATCACTCAGGTTAGCAAAGTTTAAAGGGAAATCATGCACTTAAATCAAACCAAAGCCCCTTTTTTTTTCCTTTTTGAGAAATAAACCAAGCAACTTTGACAGATTGGGTAAAAACCTTGTAATGTCATAAACCAAAAGAGCACCGGCAGCCCCTCTGTAGTACGATCTAGTTATCGATCTGAATGACTCCTGGCCTGCCTGAAATGTTGTCAGAGCCACAAAAGCATAAGATGAATGTTTAACTTGACAATTGAACATGCCATCTTATAGGTATCAAGGAAAACTCAAAATAACAGATAGACAATGTAACTTCAAGCCTCACGTTTTGGCTCTCTCATCCAGAGCTAATCTGTACAGAAAGTGATGTGATTAAAAACTGAATTTCAGGTTATCGGTAGTACATACCAACGGCGAAGCCCGCATAAAGCCATAAACTAGAATGGCATTTTCAATCTCAAACCAAAAGCCACAAGTAATCCAAGTTTACCTAACCAATCCAAGCACTCTCCGCCTCAATTGAACAGCTTGGTAACAGATGGCTACGCTAGAAACATCATCCAATCGATCTACACGAGTAGCAGCAGCAGAGAGAGTTCGAGGCGGGGGGTATAACCAACCGTGTCCCAAATCTGGAGCTTGACGGGCCTGCTGTCGACGGTGATCATCCGGGCGCCGAACTCGACGCCGATGGTGAGGTCGTGGACGGGCTGGAACCGCTTGTCCGTGAACTGCAGCAGCAGGCACGACTTGCCCACCCCTGCTCGCGCGCCCCCGCCGCCACCATCGATCATCAGACACAACAACAACACAGTCATATAGAGGGAAACGAGATTTCTCGTCGTTGGAGGAGGGGGGCCGGACCTGTGTCGCCGATGATGATGTATTTGAAGAGGTAGGCGTACGACATCTTCGCCGCCTCGGCCCGCACCGGCGGCGGCGGCGCGGGGGGTGGTTTACCGCGGCGGATTCGCGGGGCGGGGAGAGGGTGGGATTTCCTTCGTCGGGAGGGAGGCGAGGCGAGGAGAGGAGAGGAGGGTTACGTGGACGATTTGTTTGGCTAATTTTGGGGGCGGTTTGTGTTTATCGTCGTCACGGTCACGGTCGCGGTCGCGTGCGGATTACATCGTGCACTCGAGCTGTTTTTTCTTTTTCTCTTCTCGCGATCCGACGGTAGCGGCCGTGACCCTCACCCAGGCACGGCGCGACGCGGCCCGAAGACGAGGGAGATCGGCCACGCACGCACGGACGCAGATGCCGAACTGGATGTCTGGATTAGAAGCATGTACTACAATAGAGTGGGAGGAGGTGCCGGTTTCCTCCTCGGCTCCGGCTCGCCGCCGTCCGCCGCCCTCCCGAGTGCTGGAAGCGTGAGGGGGAGGAAGGTGGAAGGCACATACGAGCTACACATGTTGATTTAGTCGGTTGGATAGGATCAACGAGCCACATCAGCGAAAAATATCATCGGTATTGTACAGTGAATTAAACTACATCAATTTTAATAGTTTAAGGTGGCAAGATAATGGGAATTGAGGTTGAGAAATACGAATAAGATTGGTGCTGTATGTAGATGAGGGAGTCAAAGTGAACTTATTCCTTCTAAGGCGGGCTGCCTTAGCAAGAGAAGAAATCGAAATCCTCACCCTTTCGTTCAGTAGTCCGTACCCATCACCAGAGGCCGATTATGGCTGAATTCTCACTTGTGGAACGTACTAGCAAATACCCAAGGAAATGGCCCAGCACAGTGCTTGTCTCGCCCATTTACGGAGTAAGTCTATTTTACATTTCTCAAGTCTTGCTCCTCATTATAAATCGCGTCTCTCAACCACGATTTGATTGCTCCTGGTGGCAACTACTGCGTGACCGTGGTGACGTGAGCTCGACGAAGTTGCTGGCTTGGCGGAGTGGAAGGAGAGGGAGGGATGAATGCTTTGTCGACATATGGAACCCGTTGCATTCTTCTTTTTTTTTTAGTCTAGAATACCACCTAAGTACCACGTAGGACAAAACCATGTACAAAATTTTTCATCCAAAAAACCACCCGGGAAGTCTATCTGCACCGATTTGTGAAGGTGGAGGAGACGTTTTACCCTGCTTGTGATTGAGGGAGACAATTCGACCGAGAGACGAGGGAGGTAAAATAGACTTTATTCTCCGTATACATAGAGACTACTTGAGCCGGAATCCCAGAACACGCGCGAAGGCAAAAACACTCCAAACAAATCGAACGTGTGAGTGAACGTTGTATAGCCGCACCAACCCTACCTGGCTAGCACACGTGAACGTTTGCTGATCGAGGCAGTGGCTCTGCACTCCGCACTACTTACAGTAGTACTCCGTACAGACGTATTACAGTACATCGTACGTGCATGCGCGCTTACCGCCAAGCCTAGCTAGCCTCCTACAGAAAATTAAAACAGTGCTCTCCCCTGCCGGAGAGAGAGAGAGAGAGAGAGAGAGAACGAAGCGTACGGCGTACCGTGCGCACAGCGACGCATCGCTGCAACGTACAGTAGCACGCATCAACGCCGCGCGGGCGCGCGGCCCGTGCTTGCTAGCTAGCTCTCCTGCTATAGACGTAGCCGCGCGTGCACGCGAGTCTCCTCGATCTCGGATCGCCTACGCAGCGGCGGCAGCGCAGTGGCCAGACCACCACGAGCCCAACGGGGAGGGGGGTAAAGCCGAGCCGCGCGGCGAGACCTACGTACGCGTCGCACGCGCGCGCGGCTCGAGAGGAGAGGTTGGTATACGCGCGCGACTGCGCGCGCGGCGGGTGGGGGTTCGTTCGACCACCACACGATCGATGATGCCGCGCGCGCGATGCATGATCGATGAGTACTACACCACTACTGTAATGTAGTGTCCGCCGGCCATGGTCAAAAGTTGGTGCTGCGACGACGGCCGCGCCACAAAGTTTGCTAGCTGCTGCTACATGGCCACCATGCACGCATGAACGATCGCATCGATCAAGCTACCTCACGGCGCCGCTCTATGGGGCACTAGCTTAATTAGCTAGGTAGGTCATCGTCTTAACAAAAAACAAAACCATCTAGGCATTTAGTGACCATCATTAGGAAAACGCTAATGATCATCCTCAACCATATATCACGATAGATCGTGATCAAAAGCTTTCCCGTGACCTTTACTGATTAGTCAATGCGTGAGACCGAAAGCTAGCAGCAGGAGAGAGATACACATATATCTAAGTCACCGGCCTTGCTCATGCGGCCGCAGCAGCTAGAGGCAGGTTGCATGCGGGGCCTACATACAGTGTACGTGCACGCATGATCTTCCTCCTCCTCCTTTAGGCAGGTCTTGTACGACCTCGTCGCGAATCCGACACCAGCTAGTACGACACATTATGCTACTACTGCAGATCTGCATATGCATGGGTAGATAGAGACGTACGGTGGCGATAGTTTACTTTGACTCGATTGATTATTGGCCGATCGACGACTTGATCCAGAGACATCAACTGTGAACAAAAGAAAATCTATGGCATGCACCAACATGTCACTGGCCCCGTGCAGTACACTGACAGTGCAAATTAAGCAGGGCGACGAGCCGGCCACATGCATACTGGATCAGATCATCGGAGAGGCTAATCACTGGTAGAGAAAGGGGCTTTACTCCCGGTTAGAAACCCCCTATAGTCCCGGTTATACAACCGGGAGTACGAATCCGAGACTAAAGATACTCATCTTTAGTCCCGGGTGAAATAACCGGGACTAAAAATCCATCTTTATTCCCGGTTGGTATTACCAACCGGGACTAAAAATGGTGGAGCAGTCCCGGTTGATTCTTTTTTTTTGTTGTTGTTGTTGTTTCATTGCTCAATCGATTTGCTCCCTAAATATCCCAAATCATCCACAAGCATCACAGATTTGGGAAGAAATACATCACATATTGCAAAGAAATGCATCACAGATCACAAATACATCACATCACCAAATCTCAAACGAAAAATACATCACAAATCCTAAAAGAAATGCATCACAACTCAAATACATCCCAGATCAGATCCAATATCACATACATCACAGATCAAATCCAATGAAACACAAAATCCAAAAAAAAAATCGGCAGCAGATGGGAGGGCGCCGCCGGCCTCCCGGTCCCCGTCCTCTCGGCGTCTGCGCCAGCTCGGCCGCCACGCCCGCCCGCCGCCGCGGCTCCTGCCGGGCGCCGCTGCTACCGCCCGGCTTGCCGCCAGGCCCGCCCGCCCGGCCGCCGCCACGGCTCCCGCCCGGCTTGCCGCCGCGCCCGCCCGCCCGGCCACCGCCGCCGCTCGCGTCGGGCGCCGCCGCTCCTGCCTGGTGCCGCCGCTACCGCCCGGCCGGCCGCCGCTCCAGATCGAGGGGAAGGGGAGGAACGGCAGGGGAAGTGGAGAGGAAGGGGATGAAGGGGAGAGGAAGAGGGGGTGAAGGAGATATTAATGAGAGGGGAGGAGATCGAGAGGAGATCGCGCGCGGCTCTCGGGATAGTCTTTGCTCCCGGTTGGTATAAACAACCGGGACTAAAGATCTATTTTTAGTCCCGGTTATTTATACCAACCGGGAGTAAAAATAATGGGGATCTGTCTGGAACCCGACAACTTTTTGAACCGGGACTAAATATGATCTTTAGTCCCGGTTGGTGTTACCAACCGGGATTAAAGATAAAAAAGTACACCTCAACTTTTCAACCGGGACTAAAGATGCTTTTTAGTCCCGGTTTTTATTAGAACTGGGACTATTGTGGAATTTGGCCAACCGACCAAAGATGGTTTCTCCACCAGTGAATGTAATTGATCAGAGAGACCTGCAGGGGGACACTTGTCGGGTGATTAATCAACACGGGCTAGCTAGCTACCAGCAGCTTCTTCCTAATTGCAACACGAGTAGTAGTGACTTTTTATCATGCTCCTGCACACACACAAAGCTGCTGACCACGGACCAGATGGTACCCCCTGGCCTATGGATCTTGGCCAACACTATAGAGAGCCTAGAACATATATTGTTCAGTGGAGGACTTCAATTTGGTCCTGCATTCCCAGAGAGAGTCCTTTTGTTGTCGTTCGGGGTATATATATTCCACGTGTTGAATAATGCTGGAGTAGTGATATTGACGAAACAAATCGAGACGGACAGAGTATAGATCGACATGATCCTCTATAGTACTAGTGCAGTGTGGCAGTTATTAACAGGTATATTTGTTGGGATAGAACCGAATTACTATTAGTGTAAATCACCATATATATTTAGAACTTAATTATTGTCTTATCATCATCTCTACAATTTTGACAATAATTATGTTACATTTTAATCTGATCATAGAGCTATGTCTAATGCTTTTAAGCCCTAGTAATCTCTATAGATAAAATATATGCCCAAGAAATACTACTCCCATGGTACCATAATATAAGAAATTTTATAGGGATATGACATATTCTAGTACTATAAATCTGAAAAAAGAGCCTATCAGATTCGTAATACTAAGATATATCACATCCCTCCAAAATCCCTTATATTTTAGTACGGAGGGAGTACTAAATAATAATTAAGAACATCCCTAATTAATACGATGGTCTCTATTCTCTATTGGTAGCATATATATATACTTATTCTTTATATCACTTAGCTTATCATTATTAGCTAAGACAACAAAAATTCAGTCAATTCAGAGGGTAACACTTAGGACCCTCCTCAACCAATATTGTGGAATTCATAGGGTAAGAGCACAGTGCTAGTGTATGACATTTTATAAGAAAAGTGTGGAGGCTCACCTGAAATTAATATTGTTCTTGTTCGGCTATCACCTACCATGCAGCAAGCTATACAAACGCATGATCAATCGATGATCATTGATGAGGAGAAAGCACCACACAAGCTAGAGAATTAGCTTAAGTAAACATATTTCCTGATAAAACATCTCCATCAATCATGAGTAGTACAACCAGGATCCAAAGGAATATGTTTCCCACATGCATGCATGCCTACTAAAAAACCCCCGAAAAAATAATGACAGCATGTAATAACGAACAACACAAATCTAGAGCCAACCATTTTAGCAATTGATTAATCAATTAAGCTCGCTTTCTAGCCGGCGGTTAGGGCCACACCATGTCGCACGTGCAACCAGGGTCAATTATTGACTGTCGATCAGCAGGGAAAAGATTAATTGAATGGTCTCTGTCGACTGACCGATCGATCGACTTGCCGCATCAAAACAACGAAAGCGAGATACATTATCCATCATCATTACCTAAGAAGCAAAT